TAACTCATTTCAGCTGGTAAAAATACAATTGATTGAGTTATTCTATTGATACTTCTTCCTGGACTTGGTAATCCATGAACCTCAGCATAATTTTCTAGAAAATTCTTTACTACTTCTGCAACATTTTTATCAATCACCATTTTAGTTTTCCATTGAATTCTTGGCAGATGACCATTGTTTATCAGATGATTTCTAATGTTTTCAAAATAAGTTCTGCCAATTCCCAAGATATTGAGATAAGTTTCTTGACAAAGTAGTGTATTATGATCTCAATGATAGAAAGTTCTTTTATTAGATCTGATTTTCTTTTTAAGGCGTCTACTAGTGCTTATTGATCCACCATCCATTGCTTTAAGTTGGGCCATTAAAAATATGTCTTGTTCTACTTTAGAAAGATCTTGAAAGGATTCTTTAATTCTGCAAGTTGTTCCTTGGGAATTCTTAAAGAGCAACCACAACCACAACCTTTTTCTAAAAAATCAATGGCTTTTTGATATTCATTAGAATCATTGCATTTATTACCTTTGTTAATATTTTTCATATACACTTATCCCTATATATATAATTTTATGTCCACTTTGTAATTTTTTTAAATTATTCAAAATCAAAATCATGTGAAGCAAGCTTTTGATTATGTATTGAGAAGAAATTTTATTGTGAGCATGACTTCATAATTCCATCAAATTTGAAATAAAAATAATATGTAAAATGGAGAATTCTTATTTTAGAGAAATAACGATAGAAATATAAATTTATTTTTTTGTTGCCTAAAAACCTATATCATTTAATTGAATCAACAAATAATTGTCACATGAAAAGATAAATTATGTTGAAATATCTTCATGATTTATATAATCATTTACAAGGATATCAACGCATTTCTGTTAAATGCAAATATTCAATTAAGTTAATCGAGTTTCAGGTAATAATAATATGACATATCTAAAAAAAAAATGCAAACCTCCAATTTGATGAAATGTTCGAAATTAAATTCTATCAATGGCATGCATCAGGAAATTTTTTCTGATGCAAATTTATGTAATATTATGGGGCCCGCCATAAACTTATGTAAATATTGTAATATTATGCAAAAATTGCACAAAAATTATGCAATTATTACATTCAGTGTAAATATTACATCCTTTTTATGTGAAATATTATGACATTTCATATTAAAACTTACAGATGTAATAATATGGTGGGAAAAGTTTCCTGATGTGGTTGATACATCAGTTGCTAGTTTACTTGTAATTAAGCTCCATGATACATATAAACCTCCATTTTGTAAACTCATTACATAAGTTTTCAATGATTCTCCTGTAATTCCGATTTAAAGATTAGTAAGAAAATAATAAGTTGTTAATTATATATAAAAATGCTAACCTGCATTAACTAACATCATTACTTGTCCTGGACCCCCTTTTTTATTTAATTGCTGGTTTAATGCATTTTTACCTCTTAGATGTATCTTTCTAAAATCCATTTGTTTTATTAAAGGACTAGTTCCAATAGGTTTAATTTCTGACAATAAAAAGGGAACATCATTTATAACACATGAAAAGTCAGGTCTTTGAGATGTTCCCAACACACTGCGATTAAATCTGACTTCATATTTCTTGTGTGCAGTAAAGATAGTATTGATGTAAATGTTTAATAATCTATTGCAATGTTCATCTTCAGACATTTTAACTGAAGAAATTATAGGTGTGTCTCACATAATCCATTAAAAATTTGTGTTGCAGATCTGCACATTTGGTCTTCACCTGCATTGATATAACTATCCTGGTTCATTAAATGTCTTTTTATTGCATTGTGAAGAATATTTGACATAACATTTGGAACAATTGGTTCTTGAATATAAAATGGGTTGTTCTTAAGTATTATACACCATTCATCATCACTAAATAGATTCTGGTATGGACAAGGTTTACAAACTACAAATACTGAATACAATGCTAAGACTTCATAGATATCATTCCAACATAAACCATCATTTTTAAATTTTTTAATAACCAATTCCTGATAATTTCTAAATCTTTGTGAAATATTGATTGTACCCATTCTTGAGTTGATTCCTGATTTAAGTTTTCAATTAACGAACTGATTTCAATATCATTTATTTCATTGAACTGTGATCTTTTTTTTCTTTTTTTTTTGAATTGCCTTGATTGGTAATATCTTTAAGGGCAGGTTGTTCTCTTCTCTTTTGATTTCTTTTTTTAATTTCCTTTGTTCTTGGTTGGATTATTTTTTTTAAAAAAATGAATGTTAATTAATTGAACTAGAGTGATGAGTGGTGGCAATAACCACCACCATTCTTACAATAAACAACACTTACCCATGAGTGCCTTGGCTGTCTTGTTGTTTTTGTTTATCTTGTTCTTTAGGCATTTTTTTATAAAAAAATTTTTAAAAAAGGAGATTGTTGATCGATCAACAGCATGTACACTAATTATTTATGTATGGAACCCCCTATTTTTTTTATTTTTATTTTTATTTTTCAGATGACAAAATGCAAGTGATGTTGTTTGGCATGATCGGGCTCTAAAAAGAAATGTGTTAATAACTAACCAGAGGTAACTTTTTTTTAATTTGCATTGATATGTCTTTTATTTTATATAAATGAATATTATTGAAATCAAAACACGGAGCAGATCTTGCTGGGTAATTATAAGATTCTCATCAAGATGGTAAACAAATGTTTGGTATTTGGCTTGTTGTAATCAATATTATTATTATTATAATATATAATCACAAGATGTCAAGGCAGCACACCATTGAAAAAGAAACATTTCAAATATGAAACATTTTGATACAGAACATTTGATTATTGGAAATTTACAGACGTTGAAGGCATGCATGCTATCTTAAACACTTTACAGTCATTCTCACATGTTCCTCTTGTGTACATAAGGCTAATCTGACCAGCTCCGTCTGATGATACAATGATGCAACAGAATTCCAGGGGGTTTGGTGCATGGCTCTGGAGTTTACCGGAGCTGCATCATCCATCAATGACACTTTTCACTAATCTTCCTTCACAGCACCAGACCAGAGGAGGCTGACAAATTGCCTGCAATGATCCTACCTCTAGGGTAAGGATGGCTTTGTGACCAAAGTGTTGCAACTCTGGAGGAATATTAAGAGAATCTGCAACTCGTTTCAAGCACAGGAGGTTATGGTGACCCTGAAATTGTGTTTGGGCTCTGATATTTAGAGGAAAGCTGTAAAATAAAATGGATCAGGTTTTTTTTGGTATGTTTTGTATAAATTAATCATTCCCATAGATTTTCTGTTTATTTAATTTTTATTTGACCAAGTGAATTTGTTATTTAAATGGGGGTAGGGTTGTTGGTGAGCAGGCATTCCACAAACAAGACAGCAACCCAGGCCTCAAAACTCAGAATTCAGAGAAATCCAAAACAGCAACTCAAGTTGCAATCTCCCAAATTGCTGAATTTTCAAACCAGTCTTAACCAACTTTATTCTACAGATGTATAACACATAGTGGTTGTATCCGTTGATTATCTGGGTGTTTGAGCAATTAGTCAATCAATAAAACTCAACATCCAGATAATTGGTCAGTCAATAGAATTCAACACCCGGAT